GAATAATATTTTTGTCTATTATTGTACTACATGCATTTATGTGTGATTTCAGTGTCTACTTAAGGTTTGTAGCCTTTGAACAGCGTGTTTATGTTGTCTGTTCACTGGGGAAGTAGCTTATAATGAATGGGCTTCTTTGGTTTTCAGTGAAAAATTCTTACAGGCTTCCTTAGCTTGGGTTACTTTAGTTACTTGTTCTCTAAAGCTGTGTACCTGCTATCTACCATCTCTCAATGGCATCATGAGAAATTTGGGATCCAGAAACAAAATGATTTCCCTATAAAAAGTTGAGTTTCCCTCCCCTTTTTTGCCATCAAGGCTTTAATTCTATTAGCCCCCAAGTGAAAACAAACCAAATGTTTATCATCAGATTGTGCACCATATATTATCAGATTATCATCAGATGCAAATTGTGCATCATATATTCCGCATCTTGGGTTTCGTGGTTGTCTACATTTGTTAAAACCCACTGAAACTGCACACTTAAACATGGGGGCGTTTCATTGTATGCATATTATATCTCAATAAATTTGATTTTTAAAGTAAAAAATGTAATTTTCAGTATTTTCTTACTATTGTGGTAAAGTAGACATAAGGCAAATTTTTACCATTTTAGCTATTTTGAAGTGTGCAATTGAGAAGCAAGTTGTATATTATTGTGCAACCATCACTATCGTCCATCTTCAGAACCTTTTCATCATCCCAAACCGAAACACCGTACCCAAGATTTAGGGTGTTTAATAAGATTGCATTCTCTTTTTTTTTTTTAAACGGAGTCTTGCTGTGTCATGCAGGCTGGAGTGCAGTGGCGCAATCTCGGCCCACTGCAACTTCCGCCTCGTGGGTTCAAGCGATTCTCCTGTTTCAGCATCCTGAGTAGCTGGGATTACGGGTGCACGCCACTGAGTCCAGCTAATTTTTGTATTTTTTGTTTCACCATGTTGACCAGGCTGGTCTCAAATTCCTGACCTCAGGTGATCCGCCCACCTTGACCTCCTAAAGTGCTGGGATTACAGGCATGAACCACCGTGCCTGGCCAAGATTGCATTCTATGTACAAATTAAATTGGGGAGAATGTTCATATGTTCATCATCGTAGGGTTGATCACAAACGGGTTTTTGAACTTGACCCAGGATCCATTATTTAGAAAGTATTTCCAAGATTTTGGTTGCATGTCATTATGAATTTTTTTTTTTTTTTTTTTTTTTTTTTGAGATGAAGTCTCACTTTGTCACCCAGGCTGGAGTGCAGTGGTACTGTCATGGCTCACTGCAACCTCTGCCTCCGGGGTTCAAGTGATTCCCCTGCTTTAGCCTCCCAAGTAGCTGCCACCACACCTGGCTAATGTTTTTGTATTTTTGGTAGAGACAGGGTTACGCCATGTTGGCCAGGCTGGTCTCAAACTCCTGACCTCGAGTGATCCACCTGCCTTGGCCTCCCAAAGTGCTGGGATTATAGGCATGAGCCACCATGCCTGGCCCTGAATGTCATTATGAATTGACAATGTACTGATCACACAGTTTTAAAATGTTTTGTGCTAAAATGTTAATGTGTTAAGTTGGTTAAATATATTTAACCCATATGATGGACATTTAGGTATAGGGACTCATCCTCACTTCAGTTTGGTGTGTTGTCCTTCTAATCTGGGGCCTTCTGGTTCGTTTTCTCCCAATTGTAAAGTTCTGTTCTGTGCAGCATCAGTGAAGGAATATGGGCATTTAACTATTCCTTGCAGGTATTTTCAACCAGTTCCTTGAACTTTCATTCCTATTCCTTATGTCTGTCTTCTGAAATTTGCAGAGACTCTGCTTTTTGGGCCTTTCTAGGATTGGCTTTTAGTTCTTCCTCTCTGCTAAGGCAATTACCATGCGTCCATCTCTTTTTCTTTTTTTAACAGAGATGAGGTCTCATCATGTTTCCCAGGATTAGTCTTGAACTTACGGGATCAAGGCCTTCCAAAGTGCTGAAATTATAGGCATGAGCCACTGTACCTAGCCCATCCATCTCTTTCTTATCTTCTTTATTTTTATTTTTTTTGAGATGGAGTCTCACTTTCTTGCCCAGGCTGTAGTGCAGTGGCATGACCTCAGCTCACTGCAACCTCAACCTTCCAGGTTCAAGTGATTCTCTTGCCTCAGCCTCCCCAGTAGCTGGGACTACAGGTGCCCGCCACTGCACCCGGCTAATTTTTGTATTTTTAGTAGAGATGGGGTTTTACCACATTGGCCAGGCTGCTCTTGAACTCCTGACCTCAAGTGATTCACCCGCCTTGGTCTCCCAAAGTGCTGAGATTGCAGGCGTAAGCCACTCCGCCCAGCCTCATTCTCATTTTCTGAAATACTGTTAGCATCTTTTGTCTGCTATCATCTTCTCTCCCAGGGTTTATACCTTCCTAGTCTTTTATGTAATTTCCCCCCCCCATTGCATTTGATAATATTTTCTAATTCTTTAACATCTTTAAAATTTTATTTACTAATCCCTAAATCCCCATTTTCTTTTTTTCCTTTTTTCAGGCTTCTTGTATTAAAATTCTATTTTTTTTTTTTTTTTTTTTTTTTTTTTCTTGGCTGCCTGCTTTTCTCTCTCTTTTTTAGGCATCTTAGGCATCTCTTTTTTAGGCACTGAGACTGGGAGATTTCCAAACACGCTAACTATGCTACTATTTTGTGTGTTCTTTTTTAAAATAAGAGATAACACAAAAATGAGAAAAACCACTAATCTTCACTAAGTAATATGAAATTAACCATGGAATATTTACAACATTTATTCTATCTCAGACCATAAAGAAAAATGCAACAAATTTGAAAAAAGTAAAAATTTTAAAGGCCACATTGAAGTATAAAAGTATATCTTTAAGGTATAAAAACACATAAAACTTAATTTTCTGGAGTAAATATGTTTTTATACCTAGTGTTAAACATTTCAATTTTGATATTCCCTTTGTCCCAAGAATTATTTAGGAGAATGTTCTGTGGTTTGCGACTATGTTTCTTTTGGGGTTGCCAGTCTTGTGTTTTGTTTGATAGTTTTATTACATTATTATGTGGTCAGATAATTCAGGCTTTAACATTTTTACTTTTTTGGAATTTGTTGCGTTTGTCTTTATGGTCTGAGATACAATAAATTTTGTAAATATTACATGGCTGATTTGGCATTACTTAGTGATGATCAGTGGTTTGTCTTATTTTTGTGTTATCTTTTATTTTTAAAAAAAACACGCAAAAGCAGCATGGTTAGAGTGTTTAGAAATCCCTAGCCTCAGTTGGTTTCATGCCTAGAGCAGCCTAAGGGCTAGGCTGTCTTACATGGGTAATAATAGAGCCAAAACTAAAATGAAATTCAATGCTAGAAAGATTCTCTTGACTAGGTCACTCCTGAAATTACAGAGGCACTGAGAGGGAAACACAATATACCACATAGCCTTGGGTAGAAATTCTTGTTTGATCTTGGGCCATATATCACCATCTGGTAGATTTGGATGTTTTAGAAGTTTTAGCCTCAAACAATTCTGCTGTTTATTTCAATAATTGGGATCTGGTCATCCTACTGGGACTTGGCTGTTAAGTTACTGTCATCTTAAACACATTCATTTTTTTCTTTGAAAAAAAAAAATGAGTAGAGTAATAGGCAGCTGTGTTCCTCTTCACTCCATTTGCTTTTTGAGTTGCAGCAAGTAGGATTTCAGATTTCTCTATCCAGGCAGTCAATAAAAATATATTGAGTGTCTGCACTGTGCCATCATAACATATGGGCAAATGACATCATCCCTATCCTTGAGCGGCTCATTCATAATACCGAGCTTGGAAGACAAAGCTAGAACCAAATATAATGACACATTAACGTGATTGATAGGGGAATATGCCAGTGTTAGGGGAGCACAGAGGAAGATGCATTTAATTTTCCTTAAGAATGGAGGAATGGGCTGGGCACGTTGGCTCACACCTGTAATCCCAGCTCCTTGGGAGGCTGAAGGCGGTGGATCCCTCGAGCTCAGGGGTTCGAGACCAGCCTTGACAACATAGGGAGACCCCCCCCTACAAAAAATACAAAAATTAGATGGGTGTGGTGGTGTATGCCTGTAGTCCCAGCTACTTGGGAGGTTGAGGTGTGGAGAATTGCATGAGCCCGGGAGGTCAAGGCTGCAGTGGGCCGAGATCATGCCATTGCGCTTCAACCTGAGCAACAGAGTCAGACTCTACCTCAAAAAAAGAAAAAAATGGAGAAGTGGGGAAGACCTCAGAGGTAATGTGACATTTAAGCTGGGTCTTAAAATATGAATAGGTGCTAGCTAGGCAGAGAAGAAGGCATAGGCATTTTAGGTATAGAGAGTATCGTGATTGTGGCATGCAAGTAGGATCATAGATATTCTGTTAGGGAAAGAGTAGTCAGCCTCTGACATCTGGCAAATACCATGTGTGGTGGGGCTTGGAAACAATGAGGCTGGAGGAGTATGTCTGGACTGAGACCACTAAGAGCATTGATTATGGCCTAGCATGGTGGTTCACGCCTGTAATCCCAGCACTTTAGAAGGCCAAGGTGGGTGGATTGCTAGAGCCCAGGATTTCAAGACCAGCCTGGGCAACATGGCAAAACCCTATGTCTACAGAAAAAAAATTAGCCAGGTGTGGTGACGTGTACCTATAGTCCCAGCTACTTGGGAGGTTGAGCTGAGAGGTTCACTTGCTCCCAGGAGGTTGAGGCTGCAGTGAGCTGTGATTGTACCACTGTGCTCCAGCTTGGGCGACAGAGTGAGACCACGTCTCAAAAAAAAAAAAAAAACAAAAAACAAAAAAAAAGACATCCATTGGCCACACAGAGGAAGGGATTTGCACTTTATTCTGTGGGAAATAAACAGTCACTGAAGGTTTTTAAGGATGAGACTAGGTGTATCTTGTGTTATTTTGGTCTTCAAATTTTGGTTCTCCATTGTAAATGTCCACTAACTACATGTGTCTCATCTTGCATTTTTCTTTTTCTGAAACATACAATTTATGATTCAGGTTTAGATGTCTGTGCCACTTGCCATGAACATGCCACATGCCAGCAACGAGAAGGGAAGAAGATCTGTATTTGCAACTATGGATTTGTGGGGAACGGGAGGACTCAGTGTGTTGGTAAGTTCTGAACCCTGGGTTAAGTTGAAAAGCTGAATCAAGAAACAAGATTCTCTTGTATTAAAGAGTTGATGTCCTTGGGGAAAAACATTGTTATTTTGTTCACATGTTTTTATTATGAGAAGTTTTGTCAATTATAATAAGTCTTTGTTTTGGTGTTTGGATACATTCTTTCTCTAGTGTTTCCAAGATAGTATTCCTCATGTTAGAGGTCATTGAACTTGAATCTCTGGAAACTCTGGGATCTAACACAAATTTGACATCTGTTTTAAGTCTTAAGTTTAACTTTGCAATTCAAGTGAATATTGTATTCCTTAATTTCTCTGGTTATTTTGATATAACACTATTTATATTAGTACTATGAGGAAAGCCAAAACAATTTGCCATTGGACTTTTTGGTTAATTGGTGAAATACTGTTGCTTTGGGTCTTATGTCTGTCAGAATTCATCCTCCACATTTTTGGTAGTTGTGATACTTTTAGGGACTTAGATGACTTAAAGGAATTCAAAGCCCTTTATGTTAGAAGCATCTGAAATTATTTTTTGCCTCATGATATCCCCCATGCCATGACAGTCAGACAATATCCAGGTTCAAGCTCAATTCAGAGAGAGGGAGACTTTTGCAACAATTTTACAATAGTAAATGTTGCAATAATCTTCCAATTTCCTCCCAGCAACCTTGTTATATGCATTAAAAATATTGATGGTTTTACCTTACAGTTGTGGACAGATGTTATATACAGCTTTGTTGTGATATCTTTGTGTGCTTTTTTTTCTCTCGAAAGAAAAATAACAGCAAGGCATTGAGGCTCGATCTTGTAATCTCAGCTGTTCTGGAGGTTGAGGTGGGAGGACCACTTGAGGCCAGGAGTTTGAAACCAGCCTGGGCAGCATAGTGAACCCCCCATCTCTAAAAAAAGCTTTTTCAAATTAGCCACATATGGTGGCACACACCTGTACTCCCAGGTATTTAGGAAGCTGAGGCAGGAGGATGGCTTGAGCCTAGGAGTTCGAAGCTTCAGTGAGGTTTTTTTTTTGAGACGAAGTCTTACTCTGTCACCCAGGCTGGAGTACAGTGGTGTGATCTTGGCTCACTGCAACGTCCGCCTCCCAGGTTCAAGTAATTCTCCTGCTTCAGCCTCCTGAGTAACTGGGATTAAAGGCGTGTGTCACCACGCCCAGCTAATTTTCGTGCTTTTAGTAGAGACAGTGTTTCACCATGTTGGTCAGGCTGGTCTCAAACTCCTGACCTCATGATCCACCCGCCTTGGCCTCCCAAAGTGCTGGGATTACAGGCATCAGCCACTACACCCGGCCAGTAAGTTATTTTTTATCTTTGTTTTATTTTTAGAGACAAGGGCTTTCTGTTTCCCAGGTTGGAGTGCAGTGGCATGATCATGGCTCACTGCAACCTTGCTGCCCCACCCAGCTAGTGTTTTTCTTCCCTTCCCTTCCTTCCTTCCTTCCCTCCTTCCTTCCTTTTTCTTTCTCTTTCTTTCTCTCTCTCTCTTTCTTTCTCTTTCTTTCTTCTGTCTTTCTCTCTCTCTTTCCTTTCCTTCCCTTTCTTCCTTCCTTCCTTTCTTCTCTTTCTTTCTTTCTTTCTTTCTTTCTTTCTTTCTTTCTTTCTTTCTTTCTTCTGTTTCTCTCTCCTTTCCTTTCCTTCTCTCCTTTCCTTCCTTCCCCCCTCCCTCCCTCCCTCCCTCCCTCCCTCCCTTCCTTCCTTCCTTCCTTCCTTCCTTCCTTCCTTCCTTCCTTCCTTCCTTCCTTCCTTCCTCTCCTCCTCCTTCCTCCTCCTCCTCCTCTTCTTTCTTTTCTCCTTCTCTCTCTCTCATTCTCCTTCTTCCTCTTCTTCCTTCTCTTCTTCCTTTTCTTCTTCCTCTTCTTCATTTTTAGTAGATACAGGGTCTCACTACATTGCCCGGGCTGGTCTTGAGCTCCTGGGCTCAGATGATCCTCCTGCCTCAGCTTCCTAAAGTGCTGGGATTATAGGTATGAGCCATCGCACCTGGCCACCACTGCACTCCAGTCTGGGTGACAGAGCAAGATCCCATCTCTTAAAAATAGAAAAAAAGAAACTAAAAGCAAAAAACCAAAAAACCCCAACTTAGTCTTGTCTTCAAAAAGTCACCTTTCACTTTGCAGACACAAGCTTTTCCAGTCACCCACCATTGCCCATTCTGCAGGCTGGAGTGAAGCCTTCTTTGACTCTTGTTTTTTAGGTTTCTACCCATAAGAAGTTTGGCTACCCTGCAGTCTGAGGCTCTTGGGGAATTTCTCCTAATGCTTCTCACTCTCCCATTCCTCACCCACACTTTCTAGCAGTGAGATAGAAATGAAGTTGAGAAGAATGGACAAATTTTTCTGTTCCCTTCCCAAAGGAATTCCTCCTCCCATGGATGCTAGCTACATTCTTGCTTGCCCTTTGACTTTTTTTTTTTTTTTTTTTTTGAGATGGCGTCTCCGTCTGTCGCCCAGGCTGAAGTGCGGTGGCACGATCTCAGCTCACTGCAACCTCTGCTTCCTGGGTTCAAGCGATTCTCCTGCCTCAGCCTCCTGAGTAGCTGGGATTACAGGCATGCACCACCACACCTGGCTAATTTTTGTATTTTTAGTAGAAACGGGGTTTCACCATGTTGGCCAGGATGGTCTTGAACTCCTGACCTCAGGTGATCTGCCCACCTCGGCCTCCCAAAGTGCTGGGATTACAGACATGAGCCACTGCGCCCGACCAATAAAGATACTTTTTTTTTTTTTGAGATGGAATTTCACTCTTGTTGCCCAGGCTGGAGTGCAATGGCATGATCTCGGCTCACTGCAACCTCCACCTCCCAGGTTCAAGCAATTCTCTTGCCTCAGCCTCCTGAGTAGTTGGGATTACAGGTGCCCACCACCATGCCCGGCTAATTTTTGTATTTTTAGTAGAGATGGGGTTTCACCATGTTGGCCAGGCTGGTCTCCTGACCTCAGGTGATCCACCTGCCTCAGCCTCCCAAAGTGCTGGGATTACAGGTGTGAACCACTGCGCCTGGCCAAGAAAGATACTTTTATAAATTTAGTGTAGCCTATGTGTCCAGTGTTTAGAAAGTTTACAGTAAGGCTGGGTGTGGTGGCTCATACCTGTAATCCCTTTGGGAGCACATTGGGAGGCCAAGGTGGGAGGATCCCTTAAAGCCAGCAGTTTGAGACCAGCCTGGGCTCTCACATGGTGAGAGCTGATCTCTACAATTAGAAACTAGAAATTAACTGGGCATGATGGCTTTTGCCTGTAGTCCTAGCTGCTCCTAGCTCCAGGAGGCTGAGGCAGGAGGATTGCTTGAGCCAGGAGTTCAAGGCTGCAGTGAGCTATGATCGTGCCAGTGCACTTTAGCCTGGGTGACAGAGGGAGGCCCTGTCTCTATATAAAAATAAAAGTCAACAGTCGTGTATCATGATGTTCTAGGCCTTCATATTCACTCACCACTCACTCACTGGCTTACCTAGAGCAGCTTCCAGTCCTGCACGTTCCATTTCATGGTAAGTGCTCTCTAGAGGTGTATCATTTTTTGTATTTTATACTGTATTTTTACTGTACCGTTTCTATGTTTAGATATATTTAGATACACAAATACTTCCCACTGTGTTACAGTTGCCTACGGTATTCAGTACAGTCACATGCTATACAGGTTCTAACCTAGGAGCACTACACTCTACCATGTAACCTGAGTGTATAGTTGGCTGTGCCATCTAGGTTTGTGTGAATACACCCTGTGATGTTCCCACAATGATGAACTTGCCTAACGACACATTCCTCGGTACGTGTCCCCATCATTAAGTGACACATAACTGTAAAATAATAATAATAATAATAAAACACTCAGATCTTCCGGAGAGTACTTTTGAGTGAGCAGGAATTGAGTGCAATTGTGAGAGGCCATTACATAGATCTGAGGGGCCCACTGGTGAAATAAAACACGAAGCAACAAACAAAAAAGCTACAAATTCATAAGTTGATGATTTTTCTCCCCAAAAAAGCTAACTGGGTAGATCAGCTCTAAAAGGATGCATAACAATTTGGTCACAGGAGTTTCCTCTTAAATTAGAGGGTTAGGCAGAGTCAGCAAACTATGGCCCATGGGCCAAGTTCGACCTGCTGCCTGTTTCTGTAGGTGGAGTTTTACTGGAACATAGCATTGCTTGGTAGTTTACCTGTTGTCTACAGCTGCTTTCGTGCCCATGAGCACAGGTGAGCTGTTGCAACAGATACTATGAGAAAAAGTTTGCTGACTCCTGAGCTAGGGGGCAGAGATGAGAGGGAGATTTGCTTTCATTTTGCGTCTTTTGATGTCATATTACTGAATGAAAAACACTCCGGGCAGGCTTCTGGGGACTCATGGAGCATCCCTGTTCCAGGTCCCTGCACTGAGGGACGAACATTATTCACACAGGTCACTGACCATTAGCATGAGCTGTTCCTGCTCCTGCATTAGCCCTGCTCCGGATGAGGCTGCAGCACTAATTCCATTGTGTTTCTTGGTAGCTCAGAAGGAAGAAATTTTCTAGTTAATCACTGGCTGTAAAATCAGCCTACACTGGTTTTCATGAAAAACCATGAGAATGGCTGAACTGGAAAAGGGGAATTCTGCTGGTTTGTTTCCGTGGGCCTCTGAAAACATCTTTTTAAGCTTGCAAAATTTCAAAGAGAGCCCTCTTCTCCCAATCTTCAAATCAGATGGATTGCCAGATTGAGGTGTTGCATTTTTCTTGGGGTTTCATACACTCCTGGCATGTAATGACGAGGGGCCCAGGTCCTGTAGTCTGGGGAGCATCGTGAAAGGAGAAGAGGCTGGAGAAATAGATCACGAAGGTGTGGTCACAGAACATTGGTTGCTGGGTCCATAGCATGGGAGGACAGCCTGGGCTGTTGAAGTCGGTGTGGATTGATAGCTCTTCCGGTGCCTTGTCTGTGTGTCCACAGATAAAAATGAGTGCCAGTTTGGAGCCACTGTTGTCTGTGGGAACCACACATCTTGCCACAACACCCCCGGGGGCTTCTATTGCATTTGCCTGGAAGGATATCGAGCCACAAACAACAACAAGACATTCATTCCCAACGATGGCACCTTTTGTACAGGTACTCATGAAGGGGGCTGCAGTGTTCGCGATTGGTGATGGCAGGGTAGTGTCTGGGCTGTGCATTTGTTAATATCAGGGAATTAATGTTCTGTTAGATGGGATAATGGTATTGTGGTATATAGGATAATATTCTTATTTTGGGAGATGCATGCTGAGGTATCTAGGGGTATTATGATGATGTATCTATAATAGTATTCCTTTAGTCTAAACTACTTTAAATGGCAAAATGTAAACAACGATTGAATCTTGGGGAGATGTGGGTCTACGGGAGTTCATTGCAATATTCTTTTTTTTTCATTGTAATATTTTGTTTGAACTTTTTTTTTTTTTTTGACAGGGTCTCACTCTGTTGCCCAGGCTGGAGTGCAGTGGCACAATCTTGACTCTCTGTAACCTCTGCCTCCTGGGTTCAAGCGATTCTCCTGCCTCAGTCACCCAAGTAGCTGGGATTACAGGCATATACCACCACACCCGGCTAATTTTGTAATTTTGGTAGAGATGGGGTTTCACCATGTTAGTCAGGCTGGTCTCAAACTCCTGACCTCAGGTGATCCACCCGCCTCGGCCTCCCAAAGTGCTGGGATTACAGGCATGAGCTACCGCGCCTGGCCTGATCATTTTGATAATGAATAATGAGGAGGGACTCTCTGGAGATGACGTGCCTCTTGCAGGTTCCTGTAACCACAGGTGGGGGGTCCTTAGGGTGAGTGGCACTCCTCAGCTCAGAGCACACTAATCCGGGGGCTGGCACCCGGCTGTTGGCTCACAGGAGGTCAGAGCTGTCCCTGTTAGAGACATGGGCTCGCCTCCCACATATGTACGCTGAGTGAGGAGTGCGAGTTTTGGGAGCACAGGAGCGTTGTAGGTTGGATCTCTGAGCATAGGCTGGTCGAATACAGGGTGGGGACAAACCCTCCGGATTTTTAGCGACTCCTCTGTTCATGCTATTTAATGTTGCTCTCTGACTTTCTAGGAAAATCTTCGAACAATAATGAAGAGGAAAGGCAGAAAAAGCCTCCTGGTTCTAAGATGCTTTTGCGTAGACTTAATGACTCTGCCTGAAAGCTTCATGATATTTAAAGGTTTTCAGGAAAAAGAAAATGAAAGGAGAACATATTTTATCTTCTTAGCTACCAGGAACCATAGGTTCTTATGCTCGGATTCATCCTCCCTCTTGACCTGTACCAAAGCAGAATCTCTCAAAGGATGCATTTGATTTATTCTTGGTGTGAATGAACACATTCCTTCAGAGAAAACATTTTATAATATCCTGTTGTTCTAGGCAGCAAATTACTGGCTGCATGGTTGCAGAAGTACAATGTTACAGTATTAAATTTTGTATATTAAGAAGAAAAGGCACTAAAAAAAAGCATATAAGATGATGAGCTAGTGTTTTGTTTATTCAATACACATTTCTCTTGTACTTTTCCTTTTCTTTTCTTTTTTGAGACAGAGTCTCACTCTGTTGCCCAGGCTGAAGTGCAGTGGCGTGATCTTGGCTCACTGCAGCCTCTGCCTCCTAGCTTCAAGCGATTCTCCTGCTTCAGCTTCCTGAGTAGCTGAGACTACAGGTGCACACCGCCACACCTGGCTAATTTTTGTACTTTTAGTAGAGATGGGGTTTCACCATGTTGGCCAGGATGGTCTTGATCTCCTGACCCTGTGATCTGCCCGCCTTGGCCTCCCAAAGTGCTGGGATTACAGGTGTGAGCCACTGTGACCCAGGCTGGAGTGCAGTGATGCGATCTCGGCTCACTGCAACCTCTGCCTCCTGGGTTCAAGCAATTCACCTGTGATTCTCCTGTCTCAGCCTCCTGAGTAGCTGGGATTACAGGCACCCACCACCATGCCCAGCTAATTTTTGTATTTTAGTAGAGACAGGGTTTCACCATGTTGGCCAGGCTTGTCTCGAAGTCCTGACCTCAGCTGATCCACCTGCCTCGGCCTCCAAAGTGCTGGGATTATAGGCGTGAGCCACCACGCCTGGCCTCTCATGCACTTCTTATATGCCAAGGCTGTGCTAGTGGGAGGGTGATGAGCAGACAGCTAATTTCAGTATAAAGTGTTAGTCATAGGTAAGCAAACAGCGTTTACTGGAATCTAGGGGTCACTTATTTTGGCTGTGAGGAAGGAATCAGGGGAACTTTCTGGAGAATATGAACCCTGAAATTGTGTTTTCTAGGCTGTGGGAGTTTGCCAGGAAAAACTTACAGCTGTATATTTTTCAGTATATTTATAGTTCCAAGAGATGAATTCAGCTTTTGAAAGTTATGAAGAAGGCTGGGCGTGGTGACTCATGCCTGTAACCCCAGGACTTTGGGAGGCCAGGGCTGGAGGATCACTTCAGACCAGGAGTTCAAGACCAGCTTGGGCAACATAATGAGACTTCATCTTTACAAAAAATAAGAAAATTAGCTGGATGTGGTGGCGTGTGCCTGTTGTCCTAGCTACTTGGAAGGCTGAGGTGGGAGGATGCTTGAGCCCAGGACTTTGAGGCTGCAGCGAGCCAAGGTTGTGCCATTGCACTCCAGCCTGGGTGACAGAGCGAGACTGTGTCTTAATTTTTTTTTTTTTTTTTATTAAGTTAGGAAGAAGAATGAGGAGGAGGAAGAGGGAGAAGATTGGTGGGAACAGGAGGAGGGAAGAAGAAGAGGGGAAGAGGAAACAGAAGAAAATATTTATGCAAGGGCCAAATAGGTGTCAGCCAAACTAGACCCAATCTGCCTGGAACAAAATCCAGATCTAGGCTCTACTTTTATTTATTCTATTCTTGCAATGATTTAATGACCTTCTCTTTTTTGAAAAATTGAGCTATAGTTTACACACCATCAAATTCACCCGTTTTGATATATATAACTCAGTGGTTTTTAGTATATTCACAAAGTTGTGCTAGCATCACCACTGTCTCACTTTGGAGCATTTCCATGCCCCCACTGTGAAGACCGTGTCTACTGGCAGCCATTCCCATGACCTTACCTTGTGAGTTCTCCAGCAATCACTTTGTAAAAGCTGATGAATTGCTTTTCTTGATAATATTGTTTCTTTTAGAATCGCAGTTGCCAGAGAAACATCAGTGGGCTTTAGCTGGGGCGGAGCTTAGCAAGTTTTGGGGTATCAGCAGTTAGTCTCTGTTTGCCTGGAACCACAGGATGTGAATCCTAGTTCCTGGATTCCAAAGAATCCTGCATCCAGTTGTTTATTGTGCTTTGCAGAGTCGACGTCAAGCTCAGGAGCTGATTGCAGGTGGGCCTCTGGACGTCACCAACGTTAGAGGCGGAATGAATTGCCAGGGTTCTAGTGTGAGATGATTCCAGCCAGTCGTGGAGAACTGGCAGATGTTCTCGCCCTTAAAACTGCCCCCGAATGACTCTTGGGAATCATGGAATCCACCATGAGCCACAACCCAGGAGAAGAAGTTCTGTGGCACTTCTTCTTGTGTGAGGGTGGTTTGACTTGGATGGGCTCCGTCAGCAATTGAATAGAATTACTGGTTCCCAAACAATGATTGGCGTGAGTGGAGAGGCGTTCATTGATCCAAGACCAAAAAGGAAAAAGAATAAAGAATATAAAAGTCTAAAAGGATTCTGAGATAATTTTCTTTTCTCTTTTGGGGGCTAAAATGTCATTTAAGAAAAAGAAATTATAGCGAGGTGCATTGGCTCGTGCCTGTAATCCCAGCACTTTGGGAGCTGAGTGGTTGGACCACTTGAGGTCAGGAGTTCGAGACCAGCCTGACCAACATGGTGAAACCCTGTCTCTACAAAAAGACACACAAAAATTAGCCAGTGTGGTGGTACACACCTGTAGTCCCTGCTACTCAGGAGGCTGAAGCAGGAGAATCGGTTGAACTCAGGAGGCAGGGGTTGCAATAAGCCAGGATCACATCATTGCACTCCAGCCTGAGCAACAGAGTGAGACTCTGTCTCAAAAAAAAAAAAAAAAAAAGAAAGAAAAGAAATTATGGTATTACTAGTTTTTTGAAAATTTTTTTTTTTTTAAAAACAGACTTTCTTCAATCATGCTGCTTCCTGTCTACGGCTCAATCCCTATTGTTTTTATGCAAATGTCCTAGGAATTTCAGTTAAGGTGCTTTTTTTGTTTTCTCCAAGTGGAATTGATCTATGTGGCTCTGATGAAAATATAATTATTTTTAGAGATGAAGGTCTTGCTCTGTTGCCCAGGCTGGCCTTGAACTCCTGGACTCAAAGCAATCCTCTTGCCTCAGCCTCTTCAGCAGCTGGGACCACAGGCATGCGCAGTCATGCCCAGCTGATGGAATTCTTAAAGTTTCAAAGTCAGTTCCGAGGGAAAAAACTACTAACTGGCAGAGAGATTTCTTCTCCAGCCTCTGGCTTATTGGGCAGTTTTTACCCTGTACCTGCTGTCTCTGGTAGTCTTCAGTCAGGTGCAAAAAATCTGCAAAGGGGCATGTCCTGTCCTTCCAGATGCCTGTGTTAAGCCTGTCTGATTTTCATAAAATTAGTAAGACCTTTCCTAATTAAATTACCACTCTACTACCTGCCACAGCATCCTATACTTATGGACTGGCATTTTCACTCTCCTGGAGATTGTTTTCCTTATTTAAAACATTTAAAAATTTGTTTATATTTTAAGTTAATTTTTTTTTTTTAAGAGCCAGGTTCTCACTTCATTGCCCAGGTTGGTCTCAAACTCTGGGACTCAAGCAGTCCTCCCAAAGTGCTAGGATTACAGACATGAGCCACCGTGCCAGGCCTGTAAATTATTTGCTATCTGAAGCCTTACTTTAGATGTTTTAGTATGAGGTTGGGACCATTCTTTTGTTATAGTGATTGGGTATATTTATAGTGATTGGATACATTTTAGTGACTGGATATATTTATAGTGACTGGATATATTTATAGTGACTGGATTTTTTCAGTGATTGGATTTTTTTTTTTTTTTTAATTTGAGACAAGGTCTTGCTCTGTCACCCGGGCTGAGTGCAGTGGCATGATCTCGGCTCACTGCAACCTCCGTCTCCTAGATTCAAGTGATTCTCCTGCCTCAGCCTCCTGCATAGCTGGGACTACAGGCGTGTGCCACCATGGCCAGCTAATTTTTGTATTTTTACTAGAGATGGGGTTTCTCTATGTTGGCCAGGCTGGTCTCGAACTCCTGACTTCAAATGATCTGCACGCCTCAGCCTCCCAAATTGCTGGAATTACGGGCATGAGCCACCATGCACGGCCAGGATATTTTTTAGTGAGTGGATATATTTATAACGATTGGATATTTTTAAATGATTGGATATTTTTTAGTGATTGGATATATTTCTGTTTTTGAGTTCATTTTGTTAGGTGTCAGGGAGCTGGGAATGGTTATTGGTTTTTGTAAAATCCCAGAACACACTGACAGACATTTATTCAGCACTTGCTATGTTTTCAGTGCCTACGATCTGAACAATATATGAGAAGAACCTATAAGGCATAAAATAAAATTTATGATACAGTTGCAAACAAATGCATCTTTTTATAAGAGTAGCTTGAAAATGTGAAAAAATGGCTGTCACAATATCCTCTCCTTTTTTTTTTTTCTTTTTTCTGTTTTTCTCTCCTTTTCTCTATTGGGATTGGGTCCCAAGACGTAGATGAGTGTGAAGTTTCTGGCCTGTGCAGGCATGGAGGGCGATGCGTGAACACTCATGGGAGCTTTGAATGCTACTGTATGGATGGATACTTGCCAAGGAATGGACCTGAGCCTTTCCACCCGACCACTGATACCACGTCATGCACAGGTGGGTTTCTGCCAAAAAATGCAGCACCTCAAGGTGAAATTCTGTTGATGGTGACTTTCTTTTGCTCCAAGCCTGTGCTGGGGAGGTGGGTGGAGGTGATCTGATCCTTTGCACATTTTGTACAACCTATGAAATAAAGCAAATAACAACAATAAAGTTAGAGGGGGCCATGTTAAAAAAGCTAAAATTAGACCAGGAGCAGTGGCTCACGCCTATAATCTCAGCACTTTGGGAGACCGAGGTGGGTGGATCACTTGAGGTCAGGAGTTTGAGACCAGCCTGGCCAACACGGTGAAACCCCATCTCTACTAAAAATAAAAAAATTAGCCAGGTGTGGTGGTGAGTGCCTGTAATCCCAGCTACTTGGGAGGCTGAGGCATGAGAATTTATTGAACCCAGGAGACAGAGGTCACAGTGAGCCGAGATCATGCCATTGCATTCGAGCCAAGATCATGCCGTTGCACTCCAGCCTGGGCAACAAAGTGAGACGTCTGTCTCAAAAAAAAAAAAAAAAAAAAAAAAAAAAAAAAAAAAAAAAAAAGCTAAAATTAGTAAACTTAAAGGATTTTTATTAGCAGTTAATAGATATTCTGCTATTAACTACTATGTTAGATAGTAAACACCAATGATTTGGTAAGGTCCTTGCATCTCAAAAGTGACCCTGAAAATCATCAAGGTACATTATATCTTAAGGTATTTTGTAATTCAGATTTTTTATTTCATTGGACAAGACTTCTCTTTAGTGTAAATTAGTGAGGGTTCATTGCTAAGTTCCTTCAGCTTTGTGCATGTAAAGATGCTTTACCTATGGAAGGCTAAAAGACTGAATAAAGACAATTGTTGGATATGTTCCCAGAAGTCATGTGGGAATGAACCAGTGTACTTAAAATATGGCTCGGGGGTGTGTGTGTGAGGAATAGGGTGGAGGTGGAGACAGATTATGAATTTTGAAGATTTACATTCACAAAATAATGAATTTGACATTAATTTATTTTCAGAAATAGACTGTGGTACCCCTCCTGAAGTTCCAAATGGCTATATCATAGGAGATTATACGTCTAGGCTGGGCAGCCAGGTTCGTTATGCTTGCAGAGAAGGATTTTTCAGTGTTCCAGAAGACACAGTTTCAAGCTGCACAGCCCTGGGCACATGGGAGTCCCCAAAATTACATTGCCAAGGTGAGTTTTCAGAAAGTTCACGTTCCTAGTTCATACCACCTTGAGACTGTTTTCATATTTTTCTCTAAATTTCAGTTTCAGGGAGTAAATGAGTCAAGTAAATCTTTAAAATTCCTATTTGTTTCTCATAGATTTTCAGCTGATTTTCTTGATATTTTCAGGAATAGTATCATATCATCTGCAAATAATGATGATTCCATTTACAAATTTTTCTTTCTTTATAAAAGTTATGTTTTTCTCTTGATTGATCACTTTGTATTTTTAGAACAAAAACTTAAATAGTGGTGTTGCCTTTGAATATTATTTAATTCCTGACTATTAGGGAAATGGTTTGGGTATTTCTTCATTCCTGATGTTAGTTTTTTGATGTTAAGTATATATATATGTGTGTGTGTGTGTGTGTGTGTGTGTGTGTGTGTGTGTGTATTCCCAGAAGTCATGTGGGAATGAACGTATATATATGTTCATTATATATAGTGTGTATATATACATTTTATATATGTATACATTATATATAATGAACATATATATAAAAATTCCTATTGCCTAGTGACATGATGTGTGTGTGTGTATATATATATCATGTCATGTGGGAATAACATATATATATATATATTTTTTTGAGACAGAATCTCGCTTTGTCACCCAGGCTGGAGTGCAGTGGCACGATCTTGGCTCACTGCAGCCTCTGACTCCTGGGTTCAAGCGATTCTTGTGCCTCATCCACCTGAATAGCTGGGATTACAGGCACCCACCACTACACCCGACTAAGTTTTGTATTTTTAGTAAAGATGGGGTTTCACCATGTTGGCCAGACTAGTCTTGAACTCCTGACTTTAAGTGATCTGCCTGCCCTGGCCTTCCAAAGTGCTGGGATTACAGGTGTGAGCCACTGCGCCTGGTATATCTAATCATGTCTACTCATATGGCACTGTGTGCCAAGTAGTATTTTAAATGCTTTATATATGATGATGGACCACATTGTAGTGGTCCCATAAGATCATAATGAGATTGAAAAGTTCCTATTGCCTAGGGACATCGTAGCCATCATAATGTAGTGCAACACACTCATGTTTTTGTGGCGTTGCAGGTGTAAACAAACTTACTGCTCTGCCGGCAAGTACATTACTGTATGTACATTACTATACATAAAAGTGTACGGTAATGTCCTAGGCCTTCGCATTCACTCACTATTCACTCACTGACTCACCCAGAGCAACTTCCAGTCCTGCAAGCTCCACTCATGGTAAGTGCCCTATTACAGGTGTATCATTTTTTATCTTTTATTCTGTATTTTTACTGTATCATTTCTATATTTAGATATATAAGTACTTCCCATTATGTTATCGTTGCCTACAGTAGTCAGTATAGTAACATGCTGTGTGAATTTGTAGCCTAGGAACAATAGGTATACCATACAGCCTAAGTGAGTAGCAGGCTCTACCATCTAGGTTTGTGTAAGTACACTCCGTGACTTTCACACAGTGAAGGAATTGTCTAATGATGCATTTCTCAAAATGTATGCAGATTGTCAAGTGACGTATGACTGTGATTTGTTTAAGGTCACACAACTAGAGATAGAGCTGAACTTGAACCCAAGAATTCTAGTTTCAGAATTGTTTTCAGCCACTTTGTTATGCTGCTTCTGTTTGTATGATGACACTGGCTTTTGGTTAGTTTTAAAAAAAATTTTGGCTCTCTGTTTTTCTGTTTCTTTTTCCTTTTTCTTGTTTTTGAGACAGAGTCTTGCTCTGCCACCCAGACTCGAGTGCACTGGTGCTCCTGGGCTCAAGCCATCCTCCCACCTCAGCCTCCTGGGTAACTGGACTACAGGCACGAGCTACTATGCCTGTACAATCTTTGTATTTATTTTAGAGATGGGGTTTCGCCATGTTGCCCAGGCTGGTCTTGAGCTCCTGGGCTCAAGTGATCTGCCTGTCTCAGCCTCTCATAGTGCTGGGATTCCCGGCATGAGCCACCACACTTGACCTGGTTTTCTGTTTCTCTGTCTACAAATATTATCATTTTATGTGCCTGTTTCTACCTGAAAAGTGAAAAAATGTTTTTTAAATTACCATTTTTCTAGTTTTTGGCTATATGTCCATAATCTAAAGGAAGCATCAATCTCTTCCCACTTTTTAGGAATTTCTTTTTTTGAAATTGGAAATAAGTTATTTTTATCGTGTCTTTTAGGCAGGTGATTATATATATTTTTTTCTTCTTTTAAATACTAATGTGGCCAGATGCGGCGGCTCATGCCTGTAATTCCAGCACTCTGGGAGGCCCAGGCAGGCAGATAGCTTGAGCCCAGGAGTTCAAGACCAGCCTGGGAGTGGTGGTGCATGCCTGTAGTCCCAGCTACTTGGGAGGCTGAGGTGGGAGGACTACTTGAGCCTGGGAGGTTGAGACTGTGGTGAGCCATGATCACACCCTGCCCTCCAGCCTGGGTGACAGAGCAAGACCCTGTCTCATAAAGAAAAAAAATAATGATAATGTGTGGGTTATATTGCTAAATTTCCTGATAATGATCAGTACTAATTGCTGGAATGAATTAATCTGGGTTTTGGTGTTTTATTCCTTTCGTTTGGATTATATTTGCTAAATTTTACTTAGAAATCTTGCACTGATATTCATAAGTGAAATTGCTCTATTTTATTTTGCTGCGCCATCTTTTTTCAGTTTGGTATTAATGTTATTCTGAATTAAAAAAAATGTAAAAATTTCCTTCTTTCTCTATTTCTGGAATACTACAAATAGAATTTTTAAAGATTTGGGAGATTTCATCTATAAAACCATTTGCATGTGGCACTATTGGAGAAGTAGCCCTTGGACTATTTGGACTATTTTTAAATTCTTCCTATACTTACTGGCATATCTAATCATGTCTACTCTTTTTCTTTCTTTCTTAAGATCAATTTTGGTAATTTATGTATTTCTAGAAAATTATTTACTTCATCCAGATTTTCCAATTTATTTGTGCATGCAAAGAAGTGTGAAGCCCTCATACTTCTAATTTGCTGTAGTTATATTTGTTTATAACTATTTATCGTAGTGAAATATTAGAAACAATCTCAAATGTCTAACAATAAGAGATTGGTTAAGTAAATCAATCCCTTAAAATGGAATATTATGTATCCAATAAAATTATGTTAGAAAAGCAATATTTAAAAAAGAATATTTATTAAAGGCTAGGCACAGTGGCTCATGCCTGTAATCCCAGCACTTTGGGAGGCCAGGGCAGGTGGATCACGAGATCAGGAGTTCGAGACCAGCCTGGCCAGCATAGTGCAACCCCATCTCTACTAAAAATACAAAAAATTAGCTGGTCATGGTGGAGTGCACCTGTAATCCCAGCTACTCAGGAGGCTGAGGCAGGAGAATTGCATAGATAAGTATTAATAGTATGTTTCAGAGTTACAAATTCTATGAATAACAGTCTTCATTTTGAAAAAGTCCCTATATATAGATAAGCTTAGAAAAATGTTTAGAACACCATACATCAAAATGTTAATGGTGATAATTTCCACTGGGGGGGGTGGGGGATCCTGGACTTTATATACATATACTTTTTATATACATGCACTTTTTATATACATATACTTTATGTATATATACACTTTATATATATATATATACACACCTTTTTTTTTTTTTTTTGAGATGGCGTCTCACTCTGTTGCCCAGGTTGGAGTGCAATGGCGCAATCTAGCTCACTGCAACCTCTGCCTCCTGGGTTCAAGCCATTCTCCCTGAATCAGCCTCCCAAGTAGCTGGGATTATAGGTGTCTGCCACCATGCCCAGCTAATTTTTTGTATTTTTAGTAGAGATGGGGTTTTGCTATGTTGGCTAGGCTGGTCTCAAACTCCTGACCTCAGCTGATCCACCCACCTTGGCCTCCCAAAGTTCTGGGATTATAGGCGTGAGCCACTGCGCCCAGCCGATTTTTATATTTTATATACTTTCTGTATTGAAATAATTTTTTTAATGGAATGCTTCACGCATTTGCATGTCATACTTGCACAGGGATCATGCTAGTCTCTGTATCATTCCAATTTTAGTATATGTGCTGCCAAAGTGAACATGATGGAATGTTTCACATATCAGACAAAGAAACAAACTTGTTTTCATTTTGGAAAAAAGAGAAACCCTCACCATTTTCATTGAATTTATTGCATAGTTAAGAAACGCCGGTGATGTGCATAGCTAAATTTATCATTTTGATATTCTGACTTGCTGTGTAGGCTGTACACATATTTTGATGGTTAGTTATCATCCTCAGTGGTTAAGAATTCTAAAGATAATATTTTAGTTCTTAGATGATCTTTCAATGGATCAACTAAAATGCAGAACTTAAATGAAAATATGCCGTAATGCCTATCAAAGAACCCTCTAAGGATTTACATAGGAAACTCCATATAAAATCATTTAGATTGCCTTGAAAATTAGTAATCATCTGGATTATTAGACTGAGAATGTAGAAAGTTAATGTAGAGGAGAGTGCTTGCTGCATTTTCCCAAAGAACTGTTATTTAAAAGATCTTCACTTCTTTTTTCCTTCTCTAATAACTGCTCCCTCTGCCCGCTGACACCTTCCTCCTCCTCCACCCCCATGTCACCACATGGCCTCGGTTTCTCACGGCTGTGCCTGCTCCTTTCTGAGCTCACACACCCCTTCTTATTTATCCTTCAGTCTTCTTTGGGACTCTAGAATCTGGGCCATGTGCCAACTGACATTGTATTTTTATCTCAAAGTTATAAAGCCACAGGAATTGGGAATTCCACTAAAAACACTAGCAAATTATGAACTTTGATGCTGCTGAGGAAAAGGGTGTTTTTTGTTTTTTGGTTTTTCTTTTAGACACGGTCTTTCTCTGTCACCTAGGCTGGAGTGCAGTCGTTCAACCACGGCCCGCTGCAGTCTTGAACTGCTGGGCTCAAGTGATCTTCCCACCTCAGTCTCCGGAGTAGCTTAGACTACAGGTGTGAGCCACCATGCCAA